AAATTCTGTTTTAGATTGTGCTGATTAACAATTCATAGTGGGCGGAGGTGGTGTAGAGGCAAGTGGCGCACTATATCACACGCACGGTCAGGGGGTTCGAATCCCGGATAGATGCCCGCCTAGGCCAACCAAGCCTTCCATGCCTCCGGGGTCGGTGAATTGGTACCAGACTCTTCTGGGAGGATAAAAGCACTGACTTGTACATCGGCTGGCCACCGCAAGTCATTGTATAGGCCACACACGCACTCATTACACCACTACGATCCTGAATGGAAGTCGAGTGCGGGGGCGCATCCCTCAGACGGGATTGATTAACGCCAAAAACTTTATCCTTTATCCTTTAAACCGGGTTATTTTGTGAATTTGACACTGATGAAGGCTTTTTTGTTATTTCCTTTGACATGCCAAATGAAATTTCAACACGAAGCGCTCGGTATGCCAATGCCACGATCTTTTGAAAAAAAAGTTCCGAAGTCTTTTCCGTTGTTAATCGCTTGCACTGAAGCTTGGATGTACTTATCCTTTTACTAAAAAACTAATGCAATTTCACATAGAAAAGTAACAGATTCACTCATTGTTCAGGAGCATATAACTGCTTTCAATGGCGATCCTGGTAACGTGACAGTCATGGGCCAATCTGCCGGTGGAGCCTCTGTCGACCTACTAAGCATCTGTCCTCTCTCCAGAGGTATGCTTTCAGGACTCTTTTCATTTTTTCCTTTTTTAATTCTTCCAAACAACTGACAAGTTGCCTGAAGAAAAATAGGAAAGTTGTTAGGGAGATTGAGAGGGTCCAAGCATTTTCCACATATTTGTTTATCCCATCCATTTCTGTGGCTTGTCCGCTATTGGATGCAGATGTGAAATATTTTCGTTGATAGTGAGATAAATGAAGGAATGAAGCAAAAAACGGATGATGAATGATAGAGAATAAAATTACGGGTAATAAAATAAGTTCGAATGAAGTAAGGAAATACGACGTTTAGACCTGTTCCACAAAGTGATCCCAATGGCAGGAAATGCAAGCTGTTCATGGGCCTTACATGACAATATGGTAGAAGAATGCCGCAAATTTGCAGAGCGAAATGGTGTCCACAACACTCACGATTCCAAAAAAGTTGGTTTTCTTTAGAAATGGAACTCTTAATTATTTGCTACAAAACCCACTACTATGTTAGGAGTGAATAGAATCTTTTATGGCATTTCACCGCCCTTCTGGTGTTTATATCGTTTTGGAATGCGTTCGGTTCGGTTCGCCTTCTATTCACAATCGCTCTGGAGATTGGNAGCCATTAAAAAGTTAAAACTTTTGCCCTCCCCGACGAACTTGATACCAACTAAACCACTCGGCGGGATGGAAGGCCTGGGCAAGTATCGATACGGTAGTGCGCTAGTTGTTTGCACCTCTTTGCCCTTCGTTTTTCTGAAGTCGTTGCAGGCCAAGTAGATCTACCACCAAGTGTATGGCCCGCAGATAAGAAGTATACTGATATTCACCTAGGCTGACTATATTTTACATTGCTTTGGGATCTGTACTGTTACCAAATCTCTTTTTGTTGGGTGAAGCGGTATTTTGTATTACCCAATCACCGTAAGTCGTATAAGATCTTGGAACGGTATTACTCGATACAAAAACTCTCTTTAACTTCCGTCTTTTATATTTGGTGAAATGATCCTTTATCCGGATCGGTTGTGTAAAGGAATCGAATGTGAAAGTTTAGGAAGGGGATTCGTTAATACTCATCAAAAGTGTTTTGAAGTGCTGAATGGGACAGGAACTCGCCTTTAAATCATCTAATTTGATCAACTTATTGGTCGACTCTCACTAATTCTTTCCAATAAATTTGAGAGTTTAAAACATCAATAAACCATATGAAGAATGGGTTTTTGGTTCAAATGACTATCATAGAGTGCTGAGGAGAAATAAAAGTTTCTTTGATATTCTCCTAACACTAAAAAATTGGCTTCTCACAGAAATTTCTCAAAGTTCAAGGTCGAAAATGGAATAGAAGCTCTCAAAATGCTAAAGAAGACTATAGAGTGGTCGTTCTAGAAAGGGAGAGTGTGTTTGGGTGGAAGTTTTCCAATTCTCCCCTAGGTTTCCTTACCATTACATGCATGCCAGTTGTGAATGGCAGCCTTATTCAAACCCGAATCTTCAAAACGCTTATTAGGCTAAGCAATCCTCAGATCATTGGCATCTGGGTTGTTGAACTAAAAAAGAAATGCTGAAAGGACAACCCACTGTTTTCTTACCCCCATTCATAGAGGCAGTATCTCAAGAGATATCTGGTAGGGAATTCCAAGGTTGACTTAGAAAGTTTAAGGCCAGAATGCATCTCGCCTATCAGTATATCAGACTCTTTGAACGTCCTCCCTCACTAGAAAGCATTTGTTCAGTCTTTTTTCAGATGATTGATGATCTCCGAAGGTTGCCTTCTTCTAAATTTGCGCTATCTCTAATAGACAAGATGGAGAAGTCCAGCGTGGGAAACACCTGTCCTGTTGGTCCACGCCTTGACTTCGATTTCATTCCAAAGGTTCTGTTTATGGTTCGACCGGCTTTGTTCCCTATGAATGTATTCGATATATATGCATGGCATGCAATGTTCAGAGCGTCAGCGAAATGCGAAAGGAGGCTCCAGCAAAACCAATGCTGATCGGGTGCTGCGCTTCAGAAGGGCTCATCTTTTGTAAGTTTTCCTTGAACTAGTCGAGCATGTTAACGTTCCCTTCGGGCTAGGGCTGGGTTTATGGAAAGGAAAAACTGTTTTGAAAATATCGAAGAATTGGCTTTCTGTCACTGGTTCATCCCTTTTCGGGAAGAGTCCTCATTCTGCTGGCTTCCGATGAGAATCATCGTAACGTTTACCATGAAAAACGGGTTGCGGGTTTGACTATGTTCAACTGTGAGTTTGCACTGGGCAGAGAATTTTGGCACCAAGGCACGCAAGGGAGCGAGGGCTTTTTTGGACTGGGTGGTGTCAGGGCGGAGTTCAACACAAAGACCATTGTCAGGTTTTCGCTATTCAGACTGACTGCCCGTTGCCTTGGTGATTCTAATGAAGAGGTCTAATAAAGTACATCGAGTCGATCAAATACTGCTTGCTCTTTATGTTGTTCTTTAGTGGGTTTCGAGAAGCATCCTTNCGAGGGCTTTTTTGGACTGGGTGGTGTCAGGGCGGAGTTCAACACAAAGACCATTTGTGAGGTTTTCGCTATTCAGACTGACTGTCCGTTGCATTGGTGATTCTAATGAAGAGGTCTAATAAAGTACATCGAGTCGATCAAATACTGCTTGCTCTTTATGTTGTTCTTTAGTGGGTTTCGAGAAGCATCCTTTTCTCAGCACTATTATGGAGCAGATCTCGCGGCTCATTCCTGAAAAGCATCAACCTCGCCTGTTCAAGAAGTTACGCGAGGAG